AGCTGACTCTCAGAGCCTCCTGTCTCCATCTGACTTTCCTGCTGCATTCCTTGGCAGGCAGGACAGAAAAGCCTGTGGTAGAGATGCCCCTGGTCACATACTGAGGCTCCCTCAGCTCTGGCCCTTGCTGCTGTTGGCAAAGCAGAACCTCCATGTTCTCTGTGGCCCCTGGTACTTCCTCAGGTGGAACCAAATCCATTTCCCATCTTTGGGGCCCAAAGCTGGAGCCCACAAAGATTTCAAGGGTGAAGTTAGGACTTTAACTGAGCATCCAGACAGAGGTATGCAGGAAGCAGCTGCCAGTGTCACCTGGGGCCCTATCTGTCCTGATTTAAGCTCTGGTACTGTGCACAGGGGGCAGGGGATTTTAGCTTCTCCCAGCTGAGGGCTCTCACCAGACAGCTTCAGCCTCCATTCAAAAAGCAAAATCACATTGCTGCAACTGTGGTTTGGTCAGGGGCCCTTTTGCTTCCTCTCACTCCTTCCCTTCTATCAGAGGTAGGCCATGGTCAACTCCAGGGAATCTGAAGGAATGAGCCCATCTAAGAGAGACCAGGCTGGTGAGCCTTTCAGTTCTGGGCACCCTGTGCTCCCATTGTCATTTGTGCACCATAAAACCAGGAAGATGGCAGAGACTGGCAGGCCGGTAGGCGCTGAGCTGCAGGAAGTTCCTTCCTCTCTCTGGTTAGTAATGCCCAGGGCCTCCCACCAAAGAACCAAAGATGGTAGAAGATGACGCAAAGGCAAACCATAATAACTAGCCAGGTGTTTCCTGATGTGGCTTTCATATTTTGTAGCCACTGGCTCTGAAAAGAAGCTTCCGGGTGAGCAAGATTAAGGAGAGACTGGCTCTTGCTCATGGCAGGATCCAGCGTGACATGCTTACAGCCACCTTGGTGGCACCCACTATTTTGCATGCCAGGTGACCCTGGCACATATTCCAAATCCTATAGGACAAACAAAGCTGTTAAAATAGCCAAGTATTTCATGCTGGTCACTGACTGCTTCTTAACTGACACTTGACACGTTAATAGTTTTTGAGAAAGACCAGGCATGTTCTGATTGGCCGTGGGCCATCTTTGTCTAGCTTAGCAAATAACCCATTTCTCCTGCCTTGGGGTGCAGGATCTTCCCATCTTGCTGCCATCCACTGTCATAAGTCCCTAATGAACTGCACTCTGTGCAATCCTAGATTTGTTCACCTCTTTCTTCAGTCTCTTGGTACTTTCCACTTTTGATGACTGGTTCTTGTACACCCGATTTTTCCAAAACAGGTTCATTTGGCCACAGGCCTATCTGGGGTCCTCTTGAAAAGCTTCCATGTGTTACAACAGTTTCTGAAACTAGGGCTCCTTGAAAAAGTAAAACCATGTACAGTAGTGTGGGTTCTTTCTGCACACAGGCAGCTGAGAGCCAAGGAAGGGTTGAAATCCTGCCTGTGTTTTGCTTGGCCAGATGGGGATCCAGGGGTGTGGACTCTTCAGAGGGAGTCCTGTTTGCTGTTTTGAATAAAAGTGCATTATAGACTGGTTGCAACTTGCCATGGACTTTCAGTTGTGTCTGGCTCTGACCCTGGGCTTTCCTCATCAAATAAGCAAGGTTTTAGGCAGGCTCTTGGATTCCACTCTTCCAAATGACACTTGCTTAGTACAGATCTCCAGACGTTTGCTTGGCACATTCAAGCCCTAGATGGCCTAGAATGAACCTTCCACTGGAAGCACTGACTCTACTAGGGAGGGCCAGACCCTTCCTGAACTCAAGGTAGCACAGCCCTGGAAGTTTCCATGAAACACTTATGTTGCTCCTTAGGATCTCAAGTAACAGGGACACCCATGGGTTTAACCAGGCAATGCTTCCATGTCAGGACACACCTTGAGACTTGGAAGGGAAAGTTGGCTCTCTCCTTATTTTCCTTCTTTTTCAAGAAAGGAAGGGGCATCAATATGTTCTGAGGGAGAAATCCTGGATTCAGATTCAGTTTGAACAAGATGCTAGCTGACTCAGCTATCTAGCCACTTGAATCAACATGCTGTGCCACTGATTAGTCCTAAATGGTAGTCAGCCTCATGTCCTTGGTTTATGAGTGGTCTGCCTTCACTCTCCTATTTTTCCATTATTAGCTCTGTGATTTGGGTGATCTTCTTACATATCTCTCCCAACAATTTGGGAATGCTGTTAACTTGGACATTAGCCACCCCCTCCTACACTAAGGACACAGGGGATTAAACCCTGGGTCTTTACATTGAGCTGCAACCCCAGCCCTTTAAACATTTTTAAAAATGTTGTTTCTGAGCCAGGGTCTTGCTAAGTTGTTATGTTGCCCAGGCTGGGCTTGAATTCACAAACTTCCTGCCTCAGCCTCTTGGAGTGCTGGGATTACAGGCCTGTGCCACTGTGCCTGGATGACCTTTGTTGTTCTGTTTTTTTTTTTTTTTTCTTTGAGACAGGGTCTCACTATGTAGATCAGGCTGGCCTTGAACTCATGGTGATCCTCTTGCTTCTGCCTCCCAAGTGCTGGGATTACAGGTATGCGCCACTACACCTGGCCTGACCATTGTTTACTTTGATAGTTTGCGTATGTGGTAGATGAAATATTTGTGTAAATCTTTTAGAAAATTAAATACTATATAGCTATATAATACTAGAAAACAAATATCCAGTTGCAAGGCAAATTTGTTAGTTGGTTATATTTGATTAGAACACTGGGCTGTTGAGACCAAATTCTTGGGTTCCAATCTTTAATAGTATGAGAGCTGACACTGTTCTATAGCCATGGACTATGTCCCCAAACTTAGCCACACTCATGGGGTTGTAGTGTTACCTCAAGAGCGCAAGGACATGCATGAATCTAAAAAGTCTGAATGTACCACCCATTATAGTCTCTTGCTCATAGAAAAGCAGCAGGGAATTTAGCAATGTAATTCTTAAAGCTGAGGTCTTCTATCATATAAATGCCCAAAGTCTCGGGAGCATGGGCTATTTTTCTCCTTCAGCCCACTCTGACAGCATCCCTCTGAATTCTCCCATGTGTGCACTTGAGATAGTCAGAGTCAGGCTGGTGCTTTCTTGTTCTGTTTTGTTAACAGACCTTGAAGAACTACTGAGCCAACACCACTTTTGGGATAAAGGGACATCAATAAATGTTCCTCACAGAGCTTCATCATTCTTGCCTTTCCTGATACCCACTTTTCATGAAAAGCAGCCTGAAGATGCTGGTCTCAGTACCAGATTTCTTCTTTCACACTCTTGCCTCACACAGTGAACTAGAGGAGCCTGAACGGGGCTGTCAGAATTCTGCGTTCCTACACAGAAAAGCTCTGCTTTTCTCTCCAGGTTATACCTGAGAGGCCAAGTTGCTCTCACAATACACTCTCACCTTGTCTAAATCCCTAAATATCCTCCATCCTCAACAGACAGAGAGGCACTCTACCACTCTCTACGGAGCCATTGTGGGGTAGTGGAAGTTCCATAGTCTTGCCTCTGCAGTGTGTGGCACTTTCTCATCATGGGACACCACCTACATGGCCTTGGTAAACCAGCCATGTGACAAGAACCCAGCAGGCTTTGTTTTTGGCATGTTCTCATTTCTCATGAGGAGAGACCACAGAGAGAGGAGACCCAAGAAGAGAAGGGATGAGCACCCAGATTTTAATTGCTGTCTGCTGAGTTTTTGTGATGTCTGTAGCTAGTGAATTCAAAGTAATGTTTAAATCCAGTCAAAATACACCTAGTTGTGATAGGCAAATGAGTAGGTTGCTTTCAACCTAAGATTCTTAAGATTACGTTAAAAGGATGGAGTAAGGATAAAAATCATACAGTAGCCATGTTTTACAAGGCCTTTCCTTTGCAACAGAGGTAGGAAAGTAAGGCAGATTGGTACTGTTTGGGAAAAGAAACATGGCCACTTCCCTGGGTGAGATCCCTGTTCTCTGGCTGCCATCTTGGTTTCTTCTGGTTGGACGTTGGCAGCGCAGACAGGGCCCTATGAACTCAGTGGCTTGTTTTTTATGAGTCAGTGAATGAGCAGGGTAGAGTATTTCCTGGTATCAAGACCTAAGTTCAAATTTCATAGAGACCAACATGGAGACAGGAGATAGGTCTAGACTGTTTTATACAGCAGTGTAGTATAGAATCTTCATTGTGCACATCAGGGAAGACCCTATGTTAACTTATGTCACCTTTTCCTTTGGGCTTTCTCCTGTGCTACTCTGTGGGTCTGTTCCTCTCCATGCTGAGTGTGCACGGGGGAAAGGCTACTTCCTTATTAAAGCAGTGAACCTGTGGCCTGTTTCTACTTATTGTCAGAATTGAGGACTGGGAAGCTTGACCAGGCCTTCCCCCAGGGAGTGTGGGGACAGTGGCAGGACTGGACTACCGACCTCTTCTCCCAGTCACAGTATGCAAAAGGGGATGGCAGGGGGTTGTGAGGGATATAGGAACTCATGCAGAGGCCACTAACACTCACGCCAGCTAGACCACATCGCCAGAACCCATGCAGCACAGCCACTTTCTGCACACAGCCAAAGCCACCCACATAGCAACGCTAGCTCACGCCCTGCACCAGTGTGACTGTTGGAGTTCACAGAGGAAATTTGGCTTTTTTTTTTTTTGGTGAGATGAGCGATGGCTCTGAGCCAATTTGTCTCATGGTACGTTGGATGGCCTTCTCCTGGACTACTGCAGAAGATGCACAAACCGCACAGCCCCACCAGCAGTGGGGTCCTTCTCCTCAAAGCCCTGAACAGGGAGCACAGGCCCAGGCCTGAGGCTGGGCGGTCTGCTGTGCACCTTCTGCAGAGGGGCCACTTGCTCTTTTGCAAATCCATCCCTAGAAGAGAAGCTGCAGACGCTTGCAAAAGAAAAGGGTTGAGTTGAGGAGGAAAGCACTGGAATCCCTCCCACCCCCCAAAAGACAACAACCAAAAAAAGGACAAAAAAAGTTGAAAAACCAAAACCAGAACCAAAAGAAATGTCGAGGGAAGAAAACCAACTGAACTTACCACACTGCGAGTGAACTTTTCTAGGGAAGTTCTACGACCTTGCTCACTTTCTGGCTTTAGGGGGAAAAAAAAGGTAGGGAGAAAAATACAGAAAAAAAAAAAAGTCTTGAGCTTACATGTGGTTTCCAAACAGCAGCAGCCGCAGCTAAAGAACAAAACACAAAAGCCAAATGGGGCAAAAAATGGGAAAAGAGAAGCAGCTAGAGCTGTTGGCAGAGTCAATGGGGGAAACAGAAAACAAAAGCCCAGGAACAAGGGTGTTGCCTCCTTGGAGCAGTGGGGAGAGAGGAGTCTGCTTCCTGAGGGGCCCTGAATAGTGCCATGGGGCTTTACAGGGTACTGGCAGTCACTAGTTTCCAGCTGTTTGCTCAGTGCTCTCACCTGCTTGCTCCTGTGCAGGAGCAGTGGGTGTGCACTGCCATGAGGCCCCAGGTAGCCATGTGGGGTTTAGGGCTACGGGGGATGGGATGTCCAGAGAGGCACACCCTCCACCCCAGGTGAAGCCATGAACTCATCCTCAGGCCTAGAACAGGATCTTTTTTATCTCTTGAAATCTTCCTGCCCAGAGAAAAGTTTGCCACCTTCAGTGATTCCTAAACACCCCTGTTCTGTGTCCTTGGCACCAAGAGGGTCTACTCACATCCTTGACAATGACAAAGGATCTGAGGCCTCAGAAGGCAATAACATGGGGAGTTTTTTGGACAGAAAATGCTTTCTCAGTCCCCAGGCAAGTGACACTTCCAAGGTATACACATGATGTGCTCCAGGAGGCTCAGGAACCTCCCTGGGGAACTCTTAGCTGAGGTTCCCAGGACAGGTCTTTCCAGGCAAAGCTCTGGAACATTCTCCTAAGCCCAGCTGCTCTCTACTATAGGGGAAGGAGGGGTGTGAGTTGTGCCTGACCCTCTCCCTTAGTTTCCTACCTGGGAAGAGTAGAATTCCATTTCAAATTCCTGCCCATTTATGCTACAGCCCTGCTCCAGGGTCCTGAGCCCACGGCTGGGAGAGTGCACATACTCGCATGGATACACATGTACACTAAGCAGATAACTGAAGATGGGGACTGGAGAAGCAGCCGGGTGTCTGTGGGTCTGCAAGGATGTGCTGGAAGCAGAGGGGCAGGCCACAGGCAGCCATCTGCTGGAGTGGACAAAGTCGGAGGGCTTCTTTGGCAGCCATGCCCCCGCCTGCTCAGCCAGCTGCCGGAAGACAGACATGAGGTTGCAGAGGGAAAACACAACACAAATGACATACCACCACAGAGCTGGGCTTGGCTCTTCTCCTCATACAAGGAATTGAAGGATGCTTGCTTGGCCCTGGGAACATACCAAGTCTCCATTCCAAGGATGGCAGGACTCAACCAGGGTAGCACAAATTTAGTTCAAGTCAGGCTGATCCTAGATCCAGTATTCTGTGCCTATCATTCTGATCTCTGGCCACCAAGTTGCTACTCAGTGGTCTGACTCCTTGGGCTCCTCTGTCTTGCAAAGGCCCCTGAGATGCCCTGGAATCTCATTGCCACTGGGACTTAATTATCCCAGAGTAGCTCTTAAAACCAGCTCACCTACCCCATGAGAATTTAGCTTTTCAGAGCAACTACCATTTCTTCTGAAAATGTCAGAAAAGGGAAAGAATTAGGGAAGAGTTAGAAGGCTATGCCTTCAGAGACCATCAAGGGTGCTTTCAGCAGGTACTAGAAGCTGATTCATACCCTCTCTAGGCTGGAGGTTGTGGATCTCCTTTGCTTTTTATGACCTGGACATTAATATCAAATGGTAAACCCACCCTTGAAACCAGAAGATACTCTAGGCCTACCTGAAGGTGCTGAGTTACAAATCTGATACGCACCTGGAGCCTCTCAGGAAGAAATGGAAGGAAAAGTAGGTTTTTGACACTGTTTGAGGAAACAACTCCTCAATATTGAAAAGGTATTGGCATCTTCAAGGGCTTTCTGCCTCAAAAATGTCCCTTAATTTAAAGGCTCGGAAGATAATTGTGAGGAACTTCATTTGTCACAGTTCCTGGGAAGACCGTTGCTTTCTCCTCCTCAACTGAGCTCCCCTGAGTTTTCCTTTTATAGGGATGAGCTGCAGGCTCAGGCAGCTCAGTCCATGTCCTGGGTGGGGGCCCATCTTCCCTTGGTGTTCATACCTACAGGGAGGTCTCTGACTTCTCCTCCTCTAGATACACAGGCAAAGCCCAGATTGATTCAACTGCCTTAGAATGTCCTAAAACTATGATGACTTCAGGTGACTTGAATCATAACAGATAAAGAAGACTTACTTTGACCTTCTTTCTGAGATCTGGACTAGAGTTCCATAACCTTGTTCTTTCTTTCAGTTCTCAAAAAGGGGGAGGCATCAGAAGAATTTGTGGGGGATATCACCCCCCCATCAAGGCCTGAATTCACTCCCATCCCCCGACAAGGGAGTTCACAAAAAGCCAGGTGTCACATTTTCTATCCACTTGAAAGAGGTATGTGGGAATGAATAGCGCTAGGGTTCTGACAATCTGGATAGTCCTCAAGTCCTTTTCTCCTTCTCAGACTAGTAAGGCTCTTCTGGGGGTACCTAAGGCACCAGGCAGGACAGAGATGTTCTCCTAGACTCTGAAGATAGTGGTATCAACCATGTACACAGACAGGATCCTGGCACACAAGGTCGACAGAACACAGAACAGGGTTGGGTGGCTGAGAAGTGGCCTGACAGGGAGCCTGTGGATGGACAACCACACACTTAGGACTGGAAGTTCCAAGTTGGGAAGCCAACAGGGGAGAAGAAAAGGGATCCATGTGTTCCTAAGTGGCGTGGCCTGGAAATCATGGAATTTGTGCAACTCAAGCCACCCTTAACTAACACCAGCCTTGGATGGGAGATGGAAAGTATGGAGGGTGGGCAGGCACTCTGGAGTCATAAGCCCTGTCTCTTGCCTCTTCTTTTCCAGCCCTATGGCCCTCCCTGTTCTTTCTTCCCTCCTCCCAGAAACTCAGCTGAGTCCTTCCTGCTTCAGTTACCCTCATCACCTACAAGCTAGGAGTCCCAGGAAACCCAGCCCCATGATTCCAAGAGCTGCAGGGAAACATGACTCCATTCTAACTGGAGGAGGAGGAAGGAGCTGGGGTGGGTACCTTTTGGCTGAAAGAAAAGGGAAACATTGTGGGCCAGGTGAGGGTGAGGAAGGATGTGTCAAAGAGGAAGCAATCCTGGGGATGACTCCAGGTACCAGACGGCCCCCTGGGAACCGATGAGGTTTTCTGTCCAGTGGAGGGGCTGCTCCAACCTTTGCCTCATCTCTAAACTGCTCAGGGAGAGGAGGTCAGTGGGGAGAGGGCTGGATTTTGCAGTGAAGGATTCTTTAGTGTCCTAAAGGATTCATGGGGTCACTGCCAGAACTTCTGTGCTGAGCAACTGTGGACAAAGTATTTGCTCATATGCCCTTCCCAATGGGCAAAACATGCAGAGGGAAGCAATGGGAACATGGACCCGGACCTTGGGGGAGGGCTGGGCTGGTGATAATCCTCACTGTTTTTCATTAGAGGGGAGCAGATTGAGAAAGAAAAGAAGAAAAGAGAAAATAAATAAAACCCAAGGGATGGTATTCTCATTTCCCACCAGCAGCAAGCAGCAGGCAAGAGTGGAAAGTGCTGAGAGGCAAGCCTGCCTTGCCCAGAGATACCTTCTTCTTGGTCAGCAGCAGGTCCTGGTAAGCACTGGACCGGAGGAAGCGGGCATAGCTGTCACTTTTCATCAACTTGTAGATGTGCTCCTGGGGAAGGAGTGAGACACAAAAAAGAAGTGTCAGCCAAAGCTACAGGAAACACAGTTAGCCACTTTTGAGGGGAAACAGACCAAGTATGTTGTTAGTATAAATCTAGAATATGTCTCACTTCTCTCACATACATGCTCAAAAACACTCCCCAAATCATATTTTCTCTCTTAGAGTAAAACATCCTTGAAGATCACGTCTCAGAGGACTTTTAATTGGATGTGGATGTCACATTGGGGTGGAAAATGATTAAAAGCATAGGCACAGCAATAAAAAGGAACAAATTATTGACATGCTCAACAACTTTCAAGAATCTCAAGGGAATTATGACAAGTGAAAAAGCAAGTCCCCAGGTTACACACACTATAATTTCATTTATACAGCATTCTTGACAAATTGTAGAAATAGGGAGCAGCTCAGTGGTTAAAAATGGGGAGCTGGGGAGAGGAAGAAGGGGGTGGTTATAAAAGGCAACAGGAAGGGTCTTTGTGGTGATAGATGGTTTTATATCTTGACACATCTTGCACATATCATGAAGTTGAATAGAACTAAATACATACACACATAAATGAGTACAAGTAAATCTTGAAAGCCTAATATCAGTGGATTATAGTCATGTAAATATCATGGCTGTGATATTGTCCTATAGTTTGTGAGATGTTCGCCCCACTGGGGGGAACGCATCTCTGTATTATTTCTTATAACTGTATGTGAGTCTACAAGTACCTATAAACGAAAAATGGAATTTGAAAAAGCACTCCATAGGCAACAATGCAGTTGTACCATATTAAGTTGTGTATATTAGGGCCACCGTCTTGTCCTGGAGGGTTAGGAACCAGGTCTTCTGGCTTGTGGGGAAACATGCCAGGCCTGGGGGTAACCTGAGAATTCAGGAGAAGCAGGTTGGTGGCATGGTGCTGGCTCTTCTGCACTCCCAGATGCATCTATATTCTGGCCCTGGCAATGAATTTTACCCCTGACTTCTAGCTAAATCCTGTAGGTGTATGGTCTCTTCCTAATAGATCTATCTTCATCAGGGGAAGGAAAATCTTGGCCCATTGAAATGAAGAACTTGTCAGTGGAAAAAGGATTCTTTATCCATTGAAGTGGACAAGCCACACAGTTGACTGCCCCAAGAGAGGATCTGTTAGGACAGAGGGTGAGATTGTCAGTCAGTGGCTGGCCTTGTAAAGAAATCATCTCCCATGGCACCCACTGTTCATTCCATGAAGCTGGGCAGAGGTCCCAGTGCCCATGGGGAATGAAGAGCTGGTCAGTGAGCAGCAAGTGCCCAGATGAGAGGCAGAACTTCTTCTTTGGGACCTCTTCCTTTGCTGTTCTTCCCAGAGAAGGGTATGTAAGAAGGGAGAGACTTCTCCTCAGTCTGGGGGTACATTTTGGAGATGCTTGGTCAGAAGACACTGGAGCAATGGTCAGGTCTTGCCAAGCCTCTCTCCATATCCAGTACAGAAGAAAGTCAAACCCAATAGCCAAGATATGAAATAAATCTAGGTGCTTACCAGTTGATGAATAGACAAAGAAATATATAGTATAGACATATTTACTGTATATATGGGTGTATAATATGTATTAATAAGGTACATGAGGTTGACTACTTTATCAAACAAAGAAATATATATATATAATTCAGTCTTTTAAAAAAAGAGAATTTTGTCATTAACCCAAAACAAGGATGAACCTCAGTATAATATGTTAAGTGAAATAAGCCAGCCACAGAAAGACAAACACAATATGACTTCACTTATATGTGGAATCCAAAACAATAAAACTCATGGAAACAAAGAGTAGAATGGTGGTTGCCAGAGGTTGGGGGAGGAGGGAGGATTGAAGAGATACTGGCTAAAGGACTGAACATTTCAGTTAGACAGGAGAAATAAGTTCAAGAGACCTATTGTGTATCATGGTGACTACATGTCATTAAAATACATTGCATACTTGAAAACTGCTAAAAGAGTAGGTTTTAAGTGTTCTTAAAAAAAGCATGTGAGGTAATACATATGTTAAATTGCTTGATTTAATGTATACATATATCAAAACATCATACTCATACTAGCCATTTTGCTTGTCAATTAAAAACAAAGAAAGTGAAAGTGGAAAGGATGACATATCTTGGTCACGTGTACGATCCTGTGCATTCCAACTTCAGTTGGACCCCAGAGAGTCCTGTTTGGAACTAGCTTGCCCCTCCTATATTTATGAAAATGGAGTGGTAATCACAGTGGGAATGGACTCACTGCAAAGACTCAAGTGAAATTGAGTCTTGCTTCTGAGATTATTTTGATGATCTGACTTAACAAATTTGGTGTGAAATGTTCTTCTGAAAACTTCACAGAAAAATCCAGTCTGCTCTAGTTTAAGTTCTCAGAGGGCAGGAACAGTATTTTATTATCTTTTATAGAATCATAATGCCCAGTACAGAGTCAAAGATTTAGTTGAATTTATATGGTGCTATGTTTGGATATAGTTTCAGTGTGTAACCCGAAGGTTTGGATGCTGGAAGATTGGTCCTCAGTGTAGTGGTGTTAAGAAGTGGTGGAACCTTTAAAGCCTGGGGACTACTGGGAGAAAGGTCACTGGGAGTAGCACCCTTGGAAAGGATTAAGGTAATTCTCACAGTACTCATTTAGTTACTGAGAAAATGAGTTACTATAAAAAGAGTAAACCTGGCCCCTGACTCCTTCTTGCTTCCTATTTCATCATGTGATCTCTCCTTCTTGTGTGCGCTCCCACCATGATGCCATCTACCATATTGTGGCACAACCAGGAAGCCCTCACCAGAGTTCCAGCAGGTGGTGCTGCCTGAACTTGGACTTTCAAATTGTGTGATAGTTAATCTTGACTGTTAACTTAATTGGCTTGAGAGACACCTAGAGATTGCAAAGTACACTTATTAGGTGGATCATGGGGCATGATCTGGGGGACCATATCTGGTGCCTGGCCCCTTCCTCTTTAGTTCTTCCCTCATTCCCTTTTGGATGCCATGAGGTAGGCATCTTTGGTTTGCCATTCCCTTCTGCCATAATGTTTCTGCCTTGGAACCAGATGATTGTGGACTAAACCCTCTGAAACCATGAGCCAAAATAAATCTTTTCTTTAAGTTTCAGGGCTCAGGTATTTTGTACCAGCAATAGAAAACTGACAAATACACGGTCCAAAACTACAAGCTAAACACATTTCTTTGTTTTATAAAGTAATCCATCTCATGTACCTTATTAAAGTAATAGAAAACACATTAGCATATAGAGTTTATTTTGTTCACCGAGATGCTTGTTTGAATGTAATGTTCAGTAAATTTGCAGGCTCCATGCTTGCTTTGGTTTATGACTGGATCAAGTCCCTGCTCTTTATATGGAAGGAGAGTGAGGATTGTACTTCATTCAAAGAACTATAAATATCTTGGCTCATCCATCCCTGACAGCCCCAGAGCCCAGACTAAGGGGTGTCCTTGGTCTTTGCTTTCATGTATCATCTCTTTAAATTGTTCTAACACTTAAATTTCAGGTACAAATGTTAACCCAGAGTAAGATGACTCACTGTCTCTTTCTTGTGTCAGGCATTGCTTCTGTCTGGCTGACAGAGCCAGGTGGCTCCTTAGTCATCTGGAAAGGCCATTCCTAATGCTTGGTCTCTCTCCAAATGCCTCTCCCAAACAACAGGTCTCTGCTTCTTGTTCTGACTTCTCAGAGGAATCTAAATCCTCAGTATATATCTCATAATATCCCCCTGCTATCTCAAGGGAAGTTAGGAAACCTCTTCTAGCCTTGACAACAAAATTTCCCCCAATCCAGCTGATTTCTGTAGACTCACTGCAGGCAGGAAATGCTTGTTCCATTAAAAGAAAGACCTTGTCCTTTGAAATAGAGCAAGATAAAGCAGATGCATAAACATTTAATCACAACAATATTAAGCAAATATTTATTGAGCATCTACTAGGCACCAGGCACTGTGTCAGGCACTGAGACAGACAGGTCCTTGCTGTCACACAGCTTAGATTCTATAGACTTGTGCCAAGTCTTTTGCACCAATTGAGCTAAGGGGTGCAAAGAATTACAGGTACAGGTTCTATGATTGAGTGTAACAGGATGACCTACACTGCCAAGGGTGGGGAATTAGGTAGAAATCTCCTCTTCAAGACAGGAAGCTCTGAGAAGACATAGAGAAACATGTCTCCTAATTTGGTGGGAACTAGAGGAGGGAGGTCTGGCATCATAGCTGCACAGGCTGACCAAGCAGACCAGGAAGGAAAATTGAGGGCAAGGAGGAAAGAACATCACACAGAGGCCCACTCTCCAGGGAGGTTAGTGTGTGTCCAAGTTGTGACTTGGGCACCACTGTCACTGTCACCTTCCAAGTCGTATGGCCAACTCCAAAGCCAGATCCCAAGGCAAAGATAGTGTGGGGAGAAGGTGGAGAGTGAGAGTACAACCTATGGGGGATTGAGTCTTGCCCTGCCTCCCATCCTAGCCCTTCATCATCCAATGACAGTGTCAGATCACCCCAACAACAACCACCACCAAAGCAGTAAGAGCAGACCTAAGAGTCAAGTCTGACAAAACAGAGGCTGAGATGCTCTGTGGATTCCCATGCCCCCTTCAGTGCCATGACTTCAGAGTCCCTCTGCCTGGGCCTCACTTTCCCACGACTGTGCCTTGTCCTGCTCCTCTTTCCCCAGCTAAAGAAATGCAGCCTTCGATGTACCCAGTTACGGAACTGTGTTCCTTCCTCCTTGCCAGCTTTGTCTAGGAAACACAAAGACGGTAAACAGGGGGTGGGTGAACAGAGAGCTGAGATTTTTTCTGGGAATGAGAATTAAGATCAGACCCAGGGTCTTTGGCCATTTCCCAAATGCAACGAGTTTATCACTGCCAGGGACAAAAAGTGTACAAAGCTCTTGGCAGTGACCTCTACTGATTTATGAGAGAGGTTCTGGTTTGTTTCCCTTGTTCTGCAGACAACCAGTCTTAAGGGAAACGTATATC